ATTAATAAAATTCCATTTACAATAACATCAAAAAGAAAAGAATACTTAGGAAAAATTTAAACAAGGAGGTAAAAGATCCATACAGTAAAAACTATAAGACACTGAAGAAGACAACTGATGACACAAATAAATGGAAAGATACTCCATTCTCATGGATTAGAAGAATTAATATTGTTAAAACATCAACTAATTTTCAACAAAGGTGCCAAGAATATACAATGGGGGAAGGATAGTAAATGGTGTTGGAAAAACTGGATACTCAAATGCAAAATAAACAAACTGGACCAGCATCTTACACTGTACACAAAAATCAACTCAGAATGAATTAAAGACTTGAACTTAAGACTTGAAATCATAAAACTCCTAGAAGAAAACATGGGGAAAATACTCCTTGACATTAGTCTTGGCAATGATATTTTGGATTTGACACCAAAAGCAAAGGCAACAAAAGCAAAAATAAATGAGTTGAACTACATCAAACTAAAAAGATTCTGCATAGCAAAGGAAACTATCAACAAATAAAAAAGACAATCTATGGAATGAGAAAAAATATTTACAAATAATATATCTGATAAGGGGTTAATATGTAAAATATACAAGGCACTCCCACAACTCAATAGCAAAGAAACTCTAAGATAATCTGATTAAAAAATGGGCAAAAGACTTGAACAGACGTTTTTGCAAAGAAGACATTCAAGGGGCAGGCCCGGTGGCACAGCAGTTAAGTGCGCACACTCCACTTTGGTGGCCCAGTGTTCGCTGTTTCGGATCCCAGGTGCGGACATGGCAGCGCTTGGCAAGCCATGCTGTGGTAGGCATCCCACATACAAAGTAGAGGAAGATGGGCACAGATGTTAGCTCAGGGCCAGTCTTCCTCAGCAAAAAGAGGATTGGCAGCAGTTAGCTCAGGGCTAATCTTCCTAAAAAAAAAAAAGTTTTATAAAAAAGACTTTCAAACGACCAACAGGTTCATTAATAGGTGCTCAACATGACTAATGATCAGAGAAATGCAAATCAAAACCACAATGAGATATCACTTTACATCTCTTAGGATGTGTATTATCAAAAAGAAAAGATATAACAAGTGCTGGCAAGGATGTGGAGAAAAGGGAACCCTGGTGCACTATTGGTGAGACAGTAAACTGATACAGCCACCATGGAAAACAGTATGGAGGTTCCTCAAGAATTCCCATATGATCCAGTGATCCCACTTCTGAGTATATATCCAATGGAAAGAAAATCATTATCTAGAAGAGATATCCATACTCTCATGTTCATTGCAGTATTTATTCACAACAGCCAAGTATGGAAACAACCTAAGAACTTAAGTATCCACACATATATGAATGGATAAATGAAAAATAGTGTACATACACAACGGAATGTTAATCAGCCTTTAAAAAAAAAAGGAAGAAGAAAATCCTGCCATTTGCGACAACATGAGTGAACTTGCAGGGCTTATGCTTAGTGAAATAAGCCATACAGAGAAAGACAAATATTGCACGGTATCACTTATATGTGGAATCTAAAAAAAAAAAAACATCAAATTCATAAAAAGAGTAGACTGGTGGTTGCCAGGGGCTGGGGGAATTGGGGAGAGGTTGGTAAAGGGTACAAATTTTCAGTTATAACATAAATAAGGTCTGAGGATCTAATGTGATAACATACTGACTACAGCTGATAATATTGTAATGTATACTTGAAATATGCTAAGAGAGTTGAATTTAAGTGTTCTCACAAAAAAAAAGTAAATATTTGAGGTGATGTATGTGTTAACTCAATTGTGGGAATACTTTAACAATGTACAGGTAAATAAAATCATCGTGTTGTACGCTCTAAACATACTATAATTTTATTTTTCAATACACCTCAATAAACTGGGGAAAATGTGTTGAAATTTGTTAAGCTTTCTTCAGCTGGGTCCATGAATAAGTGCAGAGAGAAGGGATAAATGGAGTACTAATCAGCTGTAAAAAGGAATGACAAAGATTGCTATGGCATGCCATGGAATCATCTCCATTTATGTGGTTAAATTTAAAAAAGCAAGATGCAGAAACATGTGTATAGTGTGCTATGTATTATCTAAGAAAGGGTGGAAGACCTTCTAACCAAAAACTAATTCTAAAAAATGATTTCCTATATAGAAAGAAACAGAGATGAGAGGACAGGAAAGAGGCTTGACTTCTGACTATACATTGTCTTGAAGTTTTGCCTCTTCTACCATGAAAATTTATTACATCATCATAAACAAAATTAGATCAAAATGAATGGAATATTAATCTGTGAAAATCAAAAGCAAAATAAAGCAAAGCAACTTGTCTGGATGGTTTAACCATAAAGAGGAATTGTTTCAAATGATGTTAAAACATGGTAATTTGACTTTTTATCTCCAGTAGGATATATTCTAAGATAAGAGAAATCTTAAATTGGTTTAATTATGTTGCTAAAATAACCTAAATATTGTTAGTTTGAAACTACTATACACACAGATGCAAATAATTATGTTAAATTTTTGTTGCTAGGGACCAGTATTTTCAGCAGAAAAAACAAATATACAAAATTTGAATTGGAAATAGCATGAACCCTTTGAAATTTTTTTAAAAGAATCTATTCTGTTAGTTTAAGCATAAACACAATCATTAAAAAATATCAAAGAATTATTACAAGGTCCACAGAAGGAGATTCAAAGCTAAGCATCTAGACATAATGTGTATGTCAGGTATTTTTCTAGATACCTGGAGAGAAGTCTTAATCTCCCAATGTTACAGCTAATGGTTTGCTTCAGTATGACACGTATCTGATGCCTGAATAGTCTTGACCCAGAAATTGCTCATTGTTGCTATGGGACCTAATCATTGGTATCATCTGATACAGTCTGTTTTCCTTTCAATGAATTTTACTAAACCTGCATAAAAGTTTCCATTCAACTTCAGTTTCTGTGTGTGATAATGACTGAAAGGCTGAACTCAATTTGTTAGCATGCAAATATGAGACAGGCTTTCTGTCGCTGATTTGTCATTTTTCTCTTGCATTTAGGCTTGTATAATTTTCATCCAATCCTTGCATGCTGAATGTATTTCTCATATAGAGCTCTTATATTGGCAAATTCTTTTTAAAAAAAAAGTTGAGAATTGCCAATATAGAACTTTGCAGACCCACTGCAGCTTACCTTTAAACTTTTCCAAAGGATCATTAATCAAATAGCCATTAAAAAGTACTAAATCGAGAATATAGAGTAATAAATAGTAGAATAAGATTAGGAAAGGAAAGCCAAGTTAAGAGTCAATGAAGCATCATCTAGAGAAATGGTTCAAGACGTGTTATTGTTGATAGTTTAGTTATATGTGCTTACTTGGCAGGAAGTGTGCAGTCATTCAAGGCTAAAGATCAAGAGACAGAATAAAAACCACAACCATGTAAAACGTTGGTCCTATCCCACCCTCCACTGTCATTTTCACCTGATGGAAATCCTTCATCAGCTTTACAGCATTAATGAGTAGGAGTTGGAGCTTCATGACTGCTCTTATCGGCCTATTCCTTTCCCACTGGAATAGCTACATCACCCTAACCATGTTATCAGTAGATGACTGCTATGTTCCCCACAGGCTCAGGGTGGAGGACAGGGTTTTCACGGAGTTAACCAGAGCTGGGGGTGGGAGAACAACAGAGGAAGGGTGGAAGAAAAAAATCAGTCCACAGTTTTATATTGTTGGAAACGGAAGATGCAGGGACTTCATGATTTCTGTACCCTGAATACCTCTATCTATTATTCTTCCAATTTTCAGGTAAATTGTGTACTAAAACTATACAACTTCTCCTGGTTCTCAGGGTTGTCATTCATCTTACACTACTCTTCACAATATTTTATATTCTAAAATATTGTATATTTTAGAAGCTGTCTTAAGTGACTTGTAATCAGTTCCTCTAAGTGTCTGCTTGCTGAGGTAGTATTTGTACAGCAAAGTTGCAGCAGAAATTCTAGCTGAGACACACAATTACGTTTTACAAATTTCACAGTGGCATGTTATTTTTACTAATCATACAATCAGTATGATAGGTCCTCCAGGATACATTAATTGTGCTTTGAATACTACAGCTATTCGGTGCAGAGCAAGACATGGGATATTTGAACAAACCTTTTCAGAACTAGACTGTAATCTGAAGGTTTTGATCAGAAGTCACACATCTGAGTAACCTATGAATGCAGACATTGTCTATAATGAAAATACAGTGCTTACTAGTTAAAATGGAAGATTAGAAAAGGTAATGCAACATGCATCATTTAAACACGAGAAGAGTATTGGCTAGCGGAGATTATGCTACCCTCAGGGTGTTCAGAGTTTGGAAGCAGATGTTAGAAGTATTCCAAGCTTTGGCACCCAACCACAAGTTTCACAGGTGCATCTCCATGCAGAAACGATAGAAGCTTACAAAAACCTAATCTGGACTTTTCACGGGTTTACATGGGTGGGAACGTGATATTGTATAGTATGTCCTGCCAAAAAACCCCTCACAAACATGTATGTGTATATGTGTGCGCATATATGTTTTGTTTTCTTAAAGAAGTGTGTACTTTCTGTCACTTGCAATTGAAATAATCCATATACATAGAAAAATCATAGCCCGAGATTTGATCCTTTACAGTTATGGTATGTTATGAACAAGGAGACTTTGTGCCTAAACTGGCTTATGTAAGGAGACCACTTTGCCCTAATATTGAGGTTAATTTTATGAAATCAAACAAGGTAAGATTCCTGGCTAACATCCAAGATCAAACAGCAGACAAACCCGAGTTTTAATCCAGGCTTTGACCTTTACAAACTGTGTGTCCTAATGCAAATTAAACAATTTTACTTAGTTTCCTTTATTTTAAAGGGAAAACAAAATCTGTATGGCTGTTCATATACGTTATATAAAATAACGTGTACGGCACAGGTATAAACAACCCGTTGCGCACCTACCACGTACTAAGCTCTAAATGCCAAGTACCGTCACGGGCAGCACACAGGAAGGGGCGGAGCGCCAGCGGCCGCCGGGCCGAGCGCCGCTCGGAAGGAAGCGGCGGCAGCGGGAGGCGCAGCCGTCGGTCGGGGGTCCGCGGGGCCTACAGTGACCTTCAGCTCCAGGCACTGGGACAGCGGCGACACCGGGTCCATGGCGATCGCGGCGGCTCCGTCTTCCTTGGCCCTCAGCGTCTCGAGCCCGGCCGCGAGCCCCAGCACCTACGGGGTCTTCTGCAAGGGGCTCTCCCGCACCCTGCTCGCCTTCTTCGAGCTGGCCTGGCAGCTGCGCATGAATTTTCCGTACTTCTACGTCGCGGGCTCCGTGATCCTCAACATCCGTTTGCAGGTACACATTTAGGGCCGTGATGGACCTGCCGGGCTTCCGGGCCAGCACAATGGCGGATTCCCAGGAGGCCCGGAGGCGAAGCGGGGCTGCGAGCAAGGAGGTCCGCAGTCTCGCGAGAATGCCTGGGAGCCCTCCGCGGCTGCGCTCGCCGCTCGCAACCCAGCTCCGCAAAGGGTCGCGGAAAGCCTGCCGTGGCTAGAAAGAGGAAACGCGCGATTTTCCGGGAACAGCGAAGAATCTCCCTGACGGCTTACGGCGATGTTTAACAAGCTGTGCATCCTTAAAACAAAAACAGGACGAACAGGATGCGTTGTAGAAAAGGAAGCCTGCTAAAAATTTAAGGAAGAAAAATTTTTAAGTTACAACAAGCTTGTCCAAATTAAAATAAGAAATCATAAATTCTGGGAGTATTGGATTGGATTGTAAGCAAGACATTGAATGAGTAAGAAGCTGAAGATCTTAAGCATATGATGTGGAAGGCATATATTTCTTCAATCCCACAAGAGAAAACAATGACAATCAGAAATTTTCAATGAAAAAAACCCAGAACTATAGAGGAAAAGCATCCTTTTAATACCGAACAGTGTAAAATGCTGCAGGATTTTGAACAGAGGGTTGGAGTGTAAGACAGTGTACTGAATTTCAGTATCCCTGTGAGTAGCATCTGATTCTAGACCTTGGAGCCAAAGAGAAAGAAATTCAGTTGTAAAGCACAAAGCTTGGCTATTTAGTGAATAACAAATAATCATAATAATGTAAATGTTTATGGTTTTCATCTTTTAAGAGAATATTTAATTATGGTTACGAAGTAGAATGCAAATGTTACCAGCCTTGATAATGTAAAAGTACAGTTTTCAAATGAGGATGTCAAAGGGGGAGGGGAAGGTAAATGGGATGGTAGTGGTGTTCTTACAAAGTGGAAAGTTGAAAGATACTGTCTGTTGTTGTTGAGGAAGAAATACATATTATTTAAAGTAGCTATAAAGTTACTAAAATAGTAACATAACTGTTCTAAAGGGGGAGGAGAGTACAGCATGAAGTCAACAAGAAATGCCTAAAGATGGAGAGTTCAGGTGGAATGTCTAAAAAAAAAAAAAACTGAGACTACCTAGTGGGTTTGAATATGGAGTCAAGAGATGTTTAGTTTTTCAGGCTGGAGATGAATTAGTGGTCTGCAGATTTTTTTTTTTAATGAAGAAAACAAAGCTAAGGCAATTATGAACCCCAGGAAAAATAAAGTTTTGCAAGAAACTACACTGCATACCTCAACTGTAATAATACTAGTCATATAAAGTCAGTCATAATTGTGTAAACATTACCAATGTAACAAGAAATGATTATGTAACATTAGGATTCGAGAGGAGAGAGATGTGTGTGTAATGGGGGAAAATTAGTCAAGCTCTAATGTAGAAAAAGTCAATAAAGAAGCAGTATAAACGTTATTAGAAAAAAACTGCAATAAGAAACAGCTAAGAGTTAAAAGTGTTTGTTTCGGGAGAAAAAAAATCAGGGAACAGTAGAGAAAAGGTGGAGGATTGCTGTTTTCCACCACCCATCTAACAGTATTATTTTGATTTGATTTTTCTTAACTATATATATTTCTTTGATTAAGAATTAATTGAAATAAACTTCATTTTAAAAATTCCTGGGTAATTGAAATGTATGCTACTGGTTAAGAGCTTCGGTAGTAAAATGGGATTGAGCACTTAAATCAGGCAAACTTCTGTTAAAATACAAATTCTAATTTTGTGGTCTTAGGTGAGTCCATTAATCTGCCTAAACCCCTGTTTCCTCAACTATTAGGGTAAAAATATCCACCTTGAAAAGTCAGTCTGAAAATTAAAAATAAACCTGCCTGAGTCCTTGATACATACACAATAAACAGTACTTGTTATAACAGAATATTGCATTAATATGTGGATAAAACTTAAAACTCACTCACGGAATGCCTGCTTTTCCAGTGGAGGTTTTAAGTAGAGTACCGACTCTGTAGGTGTGGAGAAGCGCCTGCAGGAAGATTTGGGTTGAGACTTTTGAGCCCAAAGGGGCCATTATTTGCCAAAGTAAAGATTTAAGTTGTTTGGAGGGTTCCATATTTACACTAATTGTGTCCAGCAAACAAGTATACTCTGGGGTTATGAAATAAGCACCCCTCGAACACCATGTCTGGCTGTCGGTAACTGTTCTTCCTACCCTTTATTCCTGTTCTCCAGCCAAACTATTGAGCACATCCTCCTCTTTCTACTTACACTTTTTTCTGCCTTCTCTGTCATTTTTTTGTCTGTGGTTACTCTACCTGTTTTTTTCCTCAGATTCCTCGGACCAGATTAGAGTTCATTTCTTTTACTCTTTTTGGGGGCTGTGTAAATATCATCTTATGCCATTTTCGTAAGCTGCCTTATTTTTGCTTAATTGTGCGCACTAATTATCAGATGTGGTTTTGGGTTTTTTTTTTTTAATATCCCAAAAGATAGGTTTCTATAATCACTTCCCTTGGTAATTACATATTGCTGTGATAGAGTGCAGGAACTAAAACATTTTAGTCTAAAATATCATAAATGTAATTTGATCAATGAAATGATTCAGTAATGCCAAGGGACTTACATATGGTGGGCATCACTGTTCCTTAGAGGCACTAACATCCCAATTTGTAACCTAAAAGAATGTGACTGCTGTTAGCCCTAGAATGGTTAAGATAGAAAGATGCTCCATTCGGGTGGCTACGTGAACATGTGACTTCTTCAGCCCTTTTTCTTCAGATCAGGCTTTTGTTACACTGAAGAAACTAAGGCACTTTAATGGACTTATTATTTATCGTATCCTCCAATTAGATCGGAAGGAAGATACTGTATCCTATCCAACTTTACAGCCTGTACTATCAGCAAATATATAGTAGGAACTGAATGAAAGCTCCATAATTTACCATTTATTCTTCACAATTGCTCTTAAACCTAGTTGTGTATTTTCTTCCCACATGATACAACTCAATGAAGTTCCCGAGGGAAGAAACCAAGATTTTTGCCCTGACTAAACCACTTATTCTAGTTTACAAGTAGTTTTATTCCTCTTGGCATCCTTCCAGGTAACATCCATGAAACCAAAGATTTTGTTTTGGTCATTGCTCTATCCCCCACCTACAGCGTTGCCTAATGCAAAGTAGATAATAAATATTGTTGAATGAATACCAAATTAGTTGGCTTTTCTACACATAGTCATCAGTCAATAAAGGAAATAAATAAATATTAGCCCCTGATATTAAGGTGATCCACTTTATTGCCCATAAATTGAGCTTTTTCAGGCTATCATGAAGAAGGATGATTGGTCCAGAGATCCCTCAAGCATGAAGAAGCAAAAAGGTAGTGTAATTCTGACCAAAAAAGAAAAAAACTCGTTTCTGAATTTAACTGATAAAAATGTGGGGGAAATAGTGACTGTGTTATAGTTTAACTATAAAAGGGAAATAGTAATCATAGTAACATATAATTTAAGGATTAGGGAACAAAAATTTTTTTTTAATTGTAAAAATACATGTGATTACTTGGCTAAAAGAGCATATCATCACTAGCAGCATCATTTTAAAATTTTATTGCGTTTTTAATACCAGGAACTATGAGTTATTTACATACATGATCTCCATAATTCTCACGTGTACACTATGAGGAAGACGTTTTCATCATTTTCAGATAAGGAAACTGGGATTTAAAGAGCTTGAGTAACTCCCAAGGTCATAGTAACTTTCCAAACTACAACTGAATTTCAAGTTTATTCCTAAAGAGGCATTTGATGAGGGATTCAATTTTTTTTAATGTTTAGGTAATTCTAGGTAATCTTGTTTTCTTTTCTCAAATTTTCAAAGAGAAGTTATTACCTGGGTAATCGCTTGGCAATATCTTTTTTAAAATGTAATTATTGAGGGCTTTGTGTATTGGAATATAAATATTCCATATGGTCTGATATGTAAATTCAAATATTTTATACCCTGCTGCCTAAAGTCATTTGGCCTATTGGTTGAGGAGAGGAAGGAAGGGGATGGAGGGAGACAGGAAAGGACATTTCCCCTAGAATGGAAAGGAAATGCTTTCCTTCCCTTGAAGGAGTAGAGATCAGGTAATCACGAATTTTAAAACTATGTCCATCACTGCCCTCAGGAGGCCTAACTAAATGTTCTCTTACAAAATCTTGTAGTCTTGTTTTAATGGGGGCTTTTCCTGGTGGAGCATTAATAGCACTTGATAGAGCCAAGAAGAAAATAGTACTTACACTTAGAGACATAAAGGGGTGGGAAGGGAAGGTTTAGGAATATAGGGACAAAAGAAGAGGGAGAGGAAAATCCTTATTCCAGCAACTTTGAGCCTGGAAAGTAGTCTGAAGAGTAGACTTGGAAGTTTTCAGGCAAGTGGACCAAAAAAAGAACCTCTGCAGTACCTATCAGAATTCCGAACAATTGGGTTGAATTGAGTCTCATCAATTTACTTCTTGGTTTACCGTGAATGTGGGAACTTTCTTGCAGTTTTAATGAGAACACTTGATACTCTGTTGCCCAGCAGGATTACCACCTGGCCAGGTCATGAAACTTTTTGCAGCTTAAGTCAGCTCCCTACCCCAACTCCCCACAAATACAAATCTCAGCAGTACTCGGGACAATTGAGTGCCTTCAACAAATGAAAAGAAGAAACTATAGAATTCCTAGTAGTTTAATTGCAGTACATCTGAGGGCACTCCTGCCAGTTTCTATCCTAATTAGGAATCTGCAATGAACATTAGAAATTCTTGACCATCCTTAAGGCTTTCACACACCAAGTATGTGGATTTATTCACAGTAAGGTAATGGAGAGCATCAATGAGCAATAAAGAGGAATGGAGGTGGTCCATATCCTGAGTGAAGTAGGTTAGGTCTACCTTTTCATGTGAACCAAAATGAGGAAAAATAAATCATCACACAACCAAAAGGCACGAATCACTAATGAAATACTGTACCTAGAATGTCTTGGTTCTGAAATCATTGGCACAGTAACAGAGATTGTCCAACAGATAAAGAAATAAAAAGATGCTTAATTTGAAAAAATAAGCTGTTTTTCAAGAGACTATTTTAGCTTTTTTAGTTGATACAAAGAAAACTTTGAAAACATCTCAAACTGAAGTCAAAGAGGATTTTAATTAATAGAAGCCTTAAAACTCAGAGGTCAGGTTAGATCTATATGAAAGGAAAAAGAAGTTATTTTTAAAACTAACTCATTGAGACATGAGGGTAAGGAATAGGGTACCAATATACAAGTTAAGATAGTACCTTTGTCTTCTGAAGCTGTATCTACATGGTGTACCCCAAAGTTGCTAAAATTAAAAGTTGCCCATCTGTCACCTGTGATTTTTTCTACAAATAACCCTCCTCCAGAAAAATACATTGTCTGACTTTTTTCTGAATTGATCAAACCAGCCATCTGAACAGTTTTATAAATGCACTTTATTCTGGGTCGTCCAGCACGGGTCAGAGATCTCTATGGACAGCAGTAACCAGTGTGACTAGTGAGTGGACTGTGGATGCATGGGTTTGGTAGATGGCCCCCTTGTTTCTGTACTTCAGTTAAGGAAGCTCCTGGCTCAGAGGACATGAGGTTCAATCAAGAGCAGCAGATAAAATACCTGAACCATCAGAGATTCAACGTTGTCACATTCTTTGAAATCTGTGTTGACCCATGCATATTTCCACTGGGACATTTTCTTTCAAGACAACATGGCTTGAACCCTAAAATATCTTCTCAGTTTCAGTTGTAGGCCTAGAGCAGGGCTCAGGCATAAGCCTCTTGTGGCATTAGAAACAGGTTATTTGCAACTCTCCTGGTCTCAGGTGTGGGCAAACTGAAAAAAGTAAAACTCATTTCATCAAGACTATACGAAGTTTATTTTAGAGAAAAATGATTGGCAAGAGAGTGATGACAATCATTTTATTTTCCCAATAATTTGGTCCCAGAATAGGATGCAGTTCTCTCCAGATTGCATGGGACTAGCTATGGATGTGATAGGAGTAGTGTTTCTTAGATCCTGGCTGGGGTCTCTAACACAGGCTCTGGTTATGGAAAGGGGGGGTGCACAGAGCTTGATCTCAAAATGCTTTTGATAAGGAGAATGCAATGTCAGTAGGCACTGCCCAGCCTATAACCCAGGCTTTATCTTCTAATAGTGATTTTCTGTGCTTCTGTTATGAGCAATAGGCCCCTGTTTCTTATAGCTTCATCTATCCACAATTAGTACATGAGAAGTGAGGACTTGATTCTAGTGAGACATTTACTGCTAAATCCCAGTTGTAGGAATCAAGGGCTGTGCATAGTTGTTTAAATATTTTTTATCTTGGTCATTAAAAGTTTAGTGACACTAAAATGTAAATCTAAAGGTGAAAACTAAATATACTTACTTCTAGTAAGTACGAAGTGATCTTTGCCCTTTTTACTGAAAGGGATAGGTTCTAAACCAAATTATCCTCAATATCTGAACCTAAGTATAGCCAGTATGGTTGGAATATCACCTTTCCTAAAGCAAGATAATCCAAGTGGTAATCGCTAGGAAATTTCTTTTTATTTTTTTCTTTCAGTTTTATTGAGATATATAAGTGACGTACAGCACTGTGTAAGTTTAAGATGTACAGCATAATGACTTGACTTACAGATATTGTGAAATAATTACCGCAAGAAGTTTAGTTAACATTCATCAACTGTATAGCTATCAAAAAAAGTCTTTTTCCTTGTAATGAGAGGTTTTAGGATCCCCTGTTTTAGCAACATTCAAAAATGCCCTACAGCATTGTTAATTATAGTCGTTATGTTGTACATTACATCCCCAGTACTTAACTAGAAGTTTGTTCCTTTTGACCATTTCATCCAATCCTCCCACTGCCTACCAGGTAATTT